AAAAACCAACCACCTACCTACCCGCAAAAAGGTAGTTTTAGACCTCCACGATATATTATGTATAGTATATATAAGGGTGGCACTCAAAAATATTTTTTTTGTTTTCTCATACTTTAAATTCATTCTATAATTTAAAAAATGATATTGTGAATATAATATGAAGTCATTTTAAAAACATTAAATGAAGTTAAAATATCTATATCAAATAAAGATAGTAAAAATAATAGGTACCTACCATTACCTAGGTCGGGCTAAGTACCTGAATTTCTATACATATTCAGATGTTATATGAAATCTAAATAATTTATAGTGGTCTATCTTAAGTATCATTGAAATCATACCTATTTACTCGTATTACCATTATCGTTATAAACAAGTGAAATGTTCAAATAATAGTTCTGTTCAATTCTGTTACATCTTACCATGGTACGTATTATAATATATATTAATGTGTGTTCTTTTTCGGTCTTTTGAAATCAAAAACTAAAATACTAAACGAATTCAATGTCATTAATTTCAAAAGTATTTTCACAAATTTACTTTTTTTTAAATTACTAATCATTTTGTATTGTACTTAAGGATTTTATGTTTAATGATGTTGTAATAATTTTGTGTGTAAAAGTCCGAGAGTGAAGTAAACATGTTATATTAAAACAATGCATTTTTAGAGTTGAAAAGACATTATCTCATCTGAAAACAAATTAATAACTCTTATAAATTAAGTTTATGGTAGCCAATGCTAGGTACAATTATTTTCTTTCCTAAAAGAAATTCAAAACCTTAAAATGTAAATAATGTAAATACCGTATTTTTWAAAAAAAATTTATCGTTTTTAAGTACAGTCTGAAATAATGTTTTTTTGATATTTTTTCAAAGTAGCTGCATATTCGAACAAAAACGAGATTTAAATCAAATACACATTTGTATACAAATGCGAGATTAAAATATACATATATTTTTAAAACATCACACATGGTAAAGCCTCATAATGTTTGTTTCGCTGAATATAATATATAATATTATAGCGTTCTACACTTATATCCTTGGAGGTTTRGACTTAATAAWATATGTCGATAAAACAGCAAGTTATATGAAGGGTACATTGCAGGTGAAGCGATGCAATTGAAAATGACATGATATGTTTCAACGCCTATGTGTCATAAAAAGATAATAATTAATAATATATGTGTTGAGCAGAATACAATTATTGTTCTCTGGTCATAGAAGGTGTGATTAACGTGACTGATTTAATCCTAATACACCGCTTTTTTCAGCATASTAAGCCTATTRTTGTAATATTTACGTCAACGAAGAATAAAGCCAAAATGTAACGCGTCCGAACTGAATGACATTAAAAAAATAAATGTTTGTTTATGGTATTTCAATATTATTGGCGACGAGGAATCATCTGAAAAATGATTTTAAAAAAAAAACAACAGCAACAACAAAACAAAGGTTTGATTGTCAAATATACAATGTACCCAATATAATTACATAATATTTTTATAATATAATATGTAATTATAACGCTAAATCATAAAATCGTAATACAACGTGGTTTAGTCTTGCATGTTATTATACAATGTAGGTACAGGTGCCGTTAGGTGATTTATGATGAAAAATATTTTTWAAAAATATCATCGTTTATTGTTTAGGTATATATTATAGCTATCTATTAATAATAGCATTATTTTACAATATTATATCGCGTAATAACGAATATTTTGGGGAAATGAATGGAAAAATTACAAAAAATGACGAGTGGGAGAAAAAAAAACTTGCCCCATCCCCCGACCAAAATTGATGCGTATATATGTCATATGGATGGTGGTGAGTGGAGGAAATCACACTGATTGTGTATGTTTGTCCACACACGCACACACATACCGCGGCGTTTCCGGCCGGATGACCGGACACTATAATAATATGTACGCTGGCACACGCATTATATATTAATAATATTATATGTATACGATGGTTATTCGACGTCCTCTCCGCCAGGCTCTCGTGGTTATTTTATTCGTATACATGCCTGCACACATGATGGAGCGGCGGTATTTGTGGGCATTTTGAGTGTGTGCGGCGGCAACGTGTCGCGCTCGCTATTTAAATTAAAACACTAAGCGGTTTTCAATTTGTTCGCTGCAGCGGCTGTCGCGCGCGCCACCACCGCGTACGTCACCCTCGGCGCTTATGCAAAACGAGCCACCACCCCACATCCTCACCCGCAAACAACGACCGACCCCCTTCCTACTACTCCTTTATCGTGTAACGACTCGTCGACGGACGGAGGCAGCGGCGTCGTATAATAATAATCCGTTCATCTCGCGTGCACCGCGAAAAAAAAACGAAAAAAACTGTATAGCGATGGAAAAAATATATGCTTAAAATTAAATGCACGGATATTCTGACAAACCAAACGAAATCGTTTCGATAATATTATAAGTTATAAGTCTTAAAAGGACACTACACCCGCATCTGTTGTCTCCGTCTTACAAGTGCATAACATAGCAAATTTTACGCTCAGCAGATCCCGTTAGTTTAAAATTTAGAGCGAGTTGAAATTTTATAAAAATTAAAGCCTATGAGAAGCCTTCCATAATAATGTTACCTTTAATTCTGCAAAATATGTTGATGATATTGATGAATTTTATCAAAAATTAAACTTTAAATGTGGTTATAAAAAAAATTGTGCTTATGTATTTTTTGATGTTTTTGGACTGATATCATATCCTAACTTATGAAGAACCTTATAAATTAAACACTGTTAAGCTATTTGATTCGGAAAAAAAGTATTTTAAATTTTAAATATCGGTAAATAACTCAAATAGAKGGATAGTTGCATCATATTATAAGGGAAAATTTCATATGAAAAATCATTGAAAATGTATTAGCAAATATATGTATTCGAATTTACGCTATTCATGCATTTACTCGTTCGTTTTTGAGTTACACCAACAAAATACATTTTATCGAAAACTGGTTTTGTATAAAAGTTCCTATATTTCCATAATTTTTTTTTTAACCCTATGCTTTAAAACTGGAAAATTTTACTTTTGACCTTCTAAACTGCCACCAACTGGATTTACTTTCCTACCAGAAAAGATGTTTAAGTTTAAAATAATAATAATACAAACAAAAGATTGTTAAAGTAAAAATCGAAGCCCATTTACTGCCCTATTATAGGTGATAACAGATATCATTGTAAAATCAAAAGYTTTTTCATATTTTTAATTAATATCACTTAATAAATTAAAATGCATTGTCCACAACTGAATTGCATTTTCATCAATTTACAAAGTTTATTATCAATTAATATAAATTGATTATGCATTWATCATTTATTAATTTTTCATATTAATGACATTTATTTTTCTATTTGTGCATTAAATACACATTTTGTAGAATGAGGCTARGCTATATATGAAGAGTAGGTACTACGATACTAAGAGGCATGTGATCAATTCGACCATACGTCCCCCCACTGGCCACCTAAATCATACCTTGGGTACACCTATATGAATATAATATATTTGTTGTAATATACTGTTTAATTTCCCAAATAACCAAATGCGGATTAATCATAAAACATTTAAACACCCTGCAACTACTCGCTTCGAAAAATATATTTTTACAATAACTATTTCTTATTTACTCAAATACGACACAATGATATAATACACACACACACATATAGATCGATCGAACTCGAGTCAACCACCCCTACCACTATTGGTAAGTGCGGCTGGAGTAGGGGTAGAAACGCGTTGATTGCGCCATTGGTTTATTAGCGGAAAAGACGCGACGGCGGCCGGGGACGGTTTTTTGCTACGCGCGTTTATCTCGACCGGGGCCGCCGCAAAAACGGAATGAAATGTATCGGAAGGAAACTCGCTCCTCCGCTGCAACCTCCGACTCTTATCTTGGTATTTATATATGTATACTCAAAGGCGTATAGTGTATAAACCGCAACGTTCTTTTTCGCGGTGTGTCTGTCGCCGACGAAGGACCCCACTGAGCTCAACGGGTGGTGTGGCGGTGTGGACTGGGGGTAGTAAGGGTCGCGTATATATGTATTATTATATACCGCGAGAAAAAAATATAAGGGAAGTGTACCGCGCGTATCGTTCTCGTTGTCGTCGCCGCCGCCGCCGCCGTCGTTGTTGTTGTTGTTATAATATTATTATATATTATTATCGTGTGCGGTGCATGGTGTATATGTAGAGATTTTTTTCTGTAAAAATATTGTTTATCTCGCCACCGTTTTTTTTACGACCGATGTATATGCGTTTGAGTGTATGTGTTATATGTATGTTTGTATTTATAGGTTATATTTTTAACCTTTGTACACGCTCCGACCGCCGTCTGCAGWTCATGAGATTCGACTGTAGCTTGTACGTCCTACTGCAGTATAGCTATGGGTACCAATACTATATATTATATATTATGTACCTACCACTGCAAACCTCCTGGCAAAATTAACCTACACGGTATACATGAATTTAATATATATACGCATATATATATAAACATCGTGATAAATATTAGTCACGTATGAATATATTTTAAAATATAGTTTTTTTTCGTTTTTACTCGATTCATCACGATCACGTATAAGAGGCGCGTCGTACGATATATTATTCATCATACATATTTTGTACAATTTAATATAGTATGAATACTCGTATAAGCGGACGATTTGCTCAATTAAAAATAATGGCTTAAACGAAAACAGCAATTATGATAATCGTCAGTGATTTATATAGTACAGCATAATATATTATGTAGCTATAGATCCTATACATCGCGTTCCGAACGTCGCGGTCGTAATAATAATATTATCATGGCAGGTGTACGCACGTTTATAATATTATAAATTGCATAAATGCATAATACGCCTCTCTACGATATTGTATAACGGTCAACTAATGCTATCTAAAATATTAATAAATTATTTATATTACGTAAATAAATATGATATTTTTACTGTTTTGACTTACGTTTTTCATCGAATAAACACGAAGTTTTACGCACTCCTGGAAAAAACAATATAATATCCTTTTTATTTCAAACGTTTTAAGATAATAAAACCATAATTTTAATTTTCATCATATTTGTACACAACATACATACATACTTATATTCATATGATATTGTTATTGGGACAATATTTTAACGATACGCAACAGTAACCAGTTGAGCACCATAAGACTCAGTTTTGGATCTCAACCACATTTTAATGACTTCCAACAATGATTTTAACATTTTGTTTTATATTGCCATATGGTATATAAAATTGAAATATATTTTTGATGTTTTATGGTTGCCTATAATTAAATTTGTCTTAGAAATAATAATAAATTTAGGTTTTCGCTATTCACTTCAAAATATTGTGTATGATCTTAAAATTAATAAATTTAAATAGTAAGAAACCGATTTTAATGAGAACCAATATATTGAGTATAATTTAATTAAAGTAKTATAATATTAGTGAAAACCCTCTCCCCTAAAAGTGGTTTTCACATTGAGAAAAAAACTAAAAAACAACATGACACTCGACTGAGTTTTGATGAGATAAGTGTTTTGAATATTATATTTTTTATTTATGTGTAGTTTGTTAAYCAAACTATGCTTTAGATTCAGATATTAATTATATATTCTATGATAATAATAATWATAATAATAATATAATATCTGACACTTTTAGATATTCACGTAAACTATAATAATATAATAGTAGACGCATGGAAACTTACTCGATTTAAACGAAATCGGCATAAATATATACACTTCGCTGTTCTTACACGACTTATAATATTGCGTTTCAACGTGTGGTATGATATCGCATAAAAAGTTTAATAATTATTCATTTTGACATTTTTATTGCATCCTATACTAAAATATAATAATAAGGGCAATAATACACATACATGTATGTACACGTGCGTTGGTGTTGTCAAAACAGTTTTCCGAACTTAATTTCTATTTATTTTATATTTACACACACGCAGTATATACATCGAATATGTGACGATACTATATATATCATTATGTAATAATAATTTAGTATACATTGCTTATAGTGTATTTTATATACGTATATAGAATTATGATGTAAAGCGGCAATCTTAAATGTAACATAATTGATTTTCTACACAGGATTTCCGGTAGAGGATTTTATGCATATATGCGAAAAAACAAAAATTTGTRTAATATTTTATGTTGTACTCGCGTATTATACGTTTCCGGCGTAATTAATAAAACGTCGTGCGTTCGTTGTACGTATAAATACGAGAGAACGAAAAATGTTAACCGYCAGAGATTATTTTAGGGGAAAATGCATATTATTTTAATATTTGGCGTGCAAGGCAATGTGTTGTTGTAATTCATTATTATAAATTTATAAATAATATTACACAATTGTCCGTCGTACCTGTAGCGCATGTTATATTAAATAATATAGTATGGTTATTGTTATTAACCGTGGCGACTCGGTGTCGGTACCGGAGAAGTCATCACGCGTATAATATTTAAACGTAGGCGCCCGTCGTCGACTGCACATATTATAAAGAAAAAAATAAGGTAACTCCGAA